TTTCTAGCCCTATCATAAGGTCACTACTACAACTTGAAACCCAACTGATGTGTGATTAATTATTGTCGTAGTTCTGCAAATTTTTCCATTAATTTTATTTCACCGATCAATATATAATAGGTTTTTTCTCCTCAAACCAACTTTAAATTGATATTAAATTGAATTAATCAAATCCATTTCTAATTCCTGATGCTGTTATTCTTTAAGGTGTCTGGCTACTCGATTGTATAACGATATTGAATTCGGGATTGATTTTGCTAGAAACTTACTTTAGCCAGTTAAACTTTTTGATCACTTTTACTACATCTTCCTCGATTATTTTTATAGGATATTGAGGAGCTGGATGAAAATGAGCTTCGCGTAACTCTGCTTAATAGTCCTGAAACTAAGCCTGGCCCTTGCTGGCGTACTCAGCCCCATACTCCGCGAGGCTCGGTTTCTTCTCACTTATCTCATAGCACAGCTTTGCCTCCGACTCCCAATTTAGTCACCACTCATATCACTAATGAATCCGATAATTCATTTAATAACAGCTCGCAAATAAAAGAAATAAGTAGCACGTGTCATCATCTGCCTAATGATACCAGTCACTGGAATCAAAGTTTGGCTGATATTCTTGAAGAATCCTTCGATTCATCTGCTCTACAGGATAACGACCTCTCCTCTTCCTATCAGCATTCATCGCCTCATTTGCAGCTATCCCACTTGAAAGCTGATAGGGCGTTGATCCCCGATGATGATCAGCATAGCTGCGTAGCACTCGATGATTGCGCCTTAGAGGATTGGCAGATAGACCACGAGCATGGCTCCTCTATATCTAGTGATCATGATGATGTTTCTTTGGTGCAAATGGATGATCTTTTAGACGACCTTAGCGATTGGTCTGAGGAGGTTGTGAGATCAGAAAAGACCTATTGCAATGATCACGAGTCAATTTCAACTAAGCCCCTTGCATATAAGACTCAATTTGAGGGTGCTAATGAGCTGTTGGAGAATCTCAGTGACATCGACTGGGATGAAGAAGTGATTGACGATGCCAGACCCGTTGAAATTACAGTTGAAACTAATTACAACGAAGATCCTTCTCGTAAGGGCGACCTTACTGCTTATTCTTACATTGGCCATCGTGGTTCGGACAGTCCTGTCGCCTCCTCGCCTCTCGAGATGGTCTCAACACCGGTTACAAGAGCAAATCTTCCAGCAATTTCATCGAGTTCTTGTGTACTGGATCAGGATTTCAGTAGATGGTCGGACTTACCAAAGACTTCAGATGGGCGGCATCCTGATTGTCCAGAAACACCGGATAGCGTCTTCGACCTGCTGGCCGACAGCTTCGAAGAGTTAGACCAGGCAGTTGCAGCAAGCCTGGGCCAAACATACTCCGACGACTCTGAAAAAGAAAGGTGATTGTTTGGAGAATGTTTTTGTATTTTGCTATTTATAGAAGTTAATGGAACCCACTGTTTCCCTCATTCAAGAGACTTTGACACCATATAATTCCCGCATATCGCTTTGATGCTCTTTTTTGTCCATGATACTATGGCGATATTAGGGACTATTAGTCAGCTCAACTTAATGAGGAACTTGAATTCATAATGAAGACTACTTTGTCTGATCAACATATGCATTTCATTTATAAACGGAAGTTATCATAACGTGATAAGGAAATTCTTGAAGTGCAATGAATTCCTTTGCAGCTAAGCTTTATTCGAGATCTGATTCCGCTATAGAATTTACGAATATCACTGTTAAATATCTTGTATGACCTCAATTACACTAAATTTGTTGTCTCGTCAAGAGACTATGCATGCTATGAAAAAAGCCGGGTTTCAAATAATCCCGAAATAATTTTATGTTATTAAACCATTTATCTACTATGAATTTTGGCTGAAAGGGTTTCCCAATTGGTTTTATTGGAAACTGAAAAATTGCATTAGAGTTAGCCTGTGAAGAAATCCTAGGCCCACCTTCCTGTGGACCCGGCGGATCTATGCTAAAATTTTATAAATTGTGTGAAGAACATCTTGAGACTGAAATTAATTTCTAGCAAAAATTTACAAGACACTAAGCCAAGATTGATAGTATTGAAAACTTTAATTTTCGTCATCTTAATGAAGTTGTTTAAAGTGGATGGGGATATGGTCAAACAGCTGCTTTCTTGATCTGATCACCTTTAATCTTCATTATTTAAATGCGCTTTATGTGTACATTACTCACTAATCATTTGTTATGCTAGAGCCCTTATAGAATTGGAAACCTGCACTGCCATTCGGCCTACTCATTGGTTAATCCTGCCCTCTCTCCTTAATTTAATTCAACAGCTATAGGGAGTTCATGGTTAATTTCCTTTCTAGTGTTCATTACCTTAAATAATAAAGTAAAAATCCATTGACCAAGAATGATGCCATACTTGGTTTTGGGGGAGACCTTCATTTCGTATGAAAGTGCATGGAGAAAGATTCGTAGGTTGATCTCACCAGAAGACGAGGGTTAAATCCAGTTGTACTGCAGCCGTCTGGCTTTAATACGATTTTTAGGTTGATGCAGTCCACAAGACATCCTACCTCGCTTTGGGTTAAAACAGGCTGAGCTTTCGTTCATCATATGATGGTCAGGAACACTATCCTAGTGTTAAAGTGAGACTTACAAGAATGAAACCCAGCTCTGATGTCCATCATATGATGGACGAAAGCTCAGCACGTTTTCACCCGAACCGAGGGAGGAAGTCTTGTGGACTGCGCCAAAATAAATATCATATAAAAGCTAAACGGCTGCAGTACAACAATATTCATCCGTCCTCATCTGGTGAGATCGACCAATGAATTTCTTCTTCATTCACTTTCATGCGAAATGAAAGTCCACCTAACAACAGTATCTCAAGAGATTCATCGAAACCCAGTTTCTCTTCATATCTTATCCTTCCCCAGTTCGTTACATACATGTTTACTACGACTTAGCTTAAACGCAAAGTTTCTCGACCTAATTCTAATGCCTAAGTTTCTTATCATGTATCCGTGTAGTCATTTCATCCGTGGCCTCTCCTAACCCGTCAGCCATATTATATAACTTAAGGAGATCCACATTAGTCAATACTTCAGTAAGGGGTTTTATAAACCTGGTTTTGGTTCTAATTAATTCATGTAGCCTGTTTTTTCTTATCTGGAGCCTTGTTTTAACCAAACCACACGATGTCTGAACATCCATATTAGTGGAATTCGGTAGACTAAAACGGCTGTCAGGTAAACAACACTTGTAACAATATTGTGAAATATACAAATTTGTAAAAACTAAATTCTTTTAACATGCCGGGCTATAGTTTTATTATGTATAGTGCAGCAAGAAGACAATTGACAAGAAGTTGAACCATACGTACATTGTAGATACGAAGAGTAACTGAGTTTCTATGAATCTCATGATATAAGATTGTTCTGGAGACCTTCCATTCGTATGAAAGTGCATGGAGAAGAGAGTCCTAGGTTGATTTCACTAGAAGACGAGGGCTGAATCTGTTTGTATTGCAGCACTTTTGCTTTAATTCGACATTCAGGTTGATACAGTCCACGAGGAATCCTTCTTCTCTTCGGGTGATAACGGGCTGGGCTTTCGTCCATCATATGTTTTGTGATCTTAATGGAGTATTCTATGAGTAGGTTGTGTACAGTGGTTGTGGATATGATCAAATAACTGTTTTCTTAATTTGATCATCTTTAATCTTCATTATTTAAATGCGTTATGTGTACATTACTCACTAATCATTTGCTATTTTAGGGCCCTTATAGAATTGGAGACCTCCACGCCCATTCGACTTACTTATTGCTTAATCCTGTCCTCTCCTTAATTTCATCTAACAGCTATAGAGAGTTTATGCTCAATTTCCTCACTCGTGTTCGCAACTTTTAATTAGAAAAAAATTCAATTGTGTCGGTTCGATCCTGTTTTCGCAGCTTGGGCAGAGCTTCAGGCAGACCTAATGGAATGTACCTAGTCCCGTGTCCTCTGCCATAGTATTCGTCATTTCCAGTATTTTAACATTGGCTGGGTACATTCCCAAACGTTTCGCCAACATCGTCACTGAGAGGCATCATCGTAATTACAGAGTTACAACTTATCAAAGTGACAAGTCTCTGACTCTGTGCTTACTATCGCGCCTCTCACTGCCGATGTCTGCGAAACGTTTGGGAATGTACCCAGTCAATGTTCCTATGCTGGAAATCGCGAATATTATGGCAGAGGACACGAGACCAGGTACCTTCATATCTACGATGCAAAATCCATAAAATAAGAATGATTTTGCCATACTTGTTTTCACTTCCGACTTGCTTGAAGTGCCATATGCACGAACTATTGTTATTTGCGTGAGATAATGCCATATAATAAATAATTTTATCGAAGGTATGAAGACAAAAATGGTGTGGCCTTTAGTGTGGTCGCAGTCTCCTTTCGTTGTATAGAGGTTGTTTGACCTTGTTTTCGCAACATGCTCATTTTGGTAGGAAGACTTAGAGGAACACACCTAGTCTGGAGTCCATTGTATGCATGATCGTTTCCAAAATTGAATCGTGGATGTGGTACATTCCCAGACGTTTCGCCGGCATCGTCAGTGAGCCTTGCCAGCCTTAGCACCACACTACAACTCGTCAAAGAAACAAGTGAAGCCGATCATTTTACCAATTGTCTGCTGAACAATCGTGGTAGCTCTCCTTTCTCTCTTATATCCTCTTATATCCTCATATCATGCTTTTACTATCACATTTTTTACTTGCTTATTTAAATGTGGTATGGTGTGTCCTTTTGAACGGCTTTCATGAGAACTCTCCACACTCCACACTGGCTTTTTCACCTTTCTTCACACTTGTGCTGGGAATGTTGATCAGGATCTGCCACATTGTTACGCAGTCCTTCCCTAGGTCTTATCAGAGTCTCCTTCTTTCAGACTGGGACGCCTCGAATAGCACAGATGGGGTGCAGGAGTCGAGGGAAATACTTGAACCATTGTGATAGCAGACGGATCCTACGAGGGATAAGGGAGCCTCTGATAAAACCTATGGAAGAAGAAATTCGTAACAATATGTCAGTCTTATCATTATTCCTAGCACAAGTGTGAAGGGGGGTGAGCAAGCCACTGTGGAATGTGGAGAGTTCTCATTAAAGCTGCTCAAAAGGGCACACCATACCACATTTAAATCTGCAAGTAAAAATTGTGATAGTGAAGGCTTGATACGAGGATAGAGAATAGGTGAATAGCCCATGACAGGAGAGACACCAAAACTGTCTAGAAGACATTTTGTCAAATGATCGGCTTCAATTGTCTCTTTGACCAGTTGTAGTATGGTGCTAAGACTGGCAAAAATCACTGACGATTCCGGCGAAACGTCTGGGAATGTACTTAGTCCACTGTCTGACTTTGGAAATGATCGTGCACACATTTGACTTCGGACTAGGTGCGTTCATCTAAGTCTTCCCACCAATATGACTAAGTTGCAAAAACAAGACCAATTAATTTTATATTCGTTTAGAGTAGGTTTATGTTTTATGTTTTAGTTAAGGTGTAAGACAGTTTAAACTTAGCATTCGCCAAAGGGGGATGTGAAAATATAGATGAGTGGTAGATTCTTTCTAAACATAAAAATCAAATAAAAATACCTTCATCATTAAATTCTACGAAAAACACGAAGTTTAGCTGTGGGATCGTGCTTATCCCCAATCTTATCAAGTAACTTCATGGCTCTATTTGAGAAGCGCTCTTATTAATGAGGCACTTTCAGTCCCTACAATATTGGCCCGAAATGTTAATGACCACCTTACTGTTATGCAGCGTGGCAAAGAAAGCCAGGACGTCTTCTTAAGGTTGTTTAATAGAATAAATGTAAATACTAAATTCTCCATAGAATTAGAGAAGGAAGGTAAGGTGGCTGAACTTATAATCACTGCAGGGCACCAGATTGAGTGGCCTTAAACCGAACATTTTGTCAGTTATAAGGACTTCATAACTAAGCGTAGAATTAGGGAGTCGATTGCAATTTAAAAAAATATTTGAAAAATTAAACAAGGACTATCTCTGGATACTAAATAGACTTGGAGGAAGAGAGAGCAGGATGAAGTACTGAGTAAGAGAAATCTCGAATAATCCAGAGTCTGGTTTGGGCTCGAAATTTTTATCTGAATCGTGAATATTGTATACATACAACGCACACACATCTACGAACCTAAACAGCTATTCGTAATACAGGATCATACACTAGTTTATATAGATAAGGAAAAGCTGTGACCATGTCCACTCTCCTCTTATTCATCTATTTCACTCGTCTACATGCGTAAAGAGTAGGCATGACGTAACCAACTAAATCATCAAGTATGTAAGAATAAAAGTTGGATTTTGATGAACCTTCTGGTTAATAATTGTTGAG